AGAGAGAGAGAGAGAGAGCGAGAGAGAGAGACCTGGAGGTCATAAAGAAGGGTTCCACAAGTCGTTTGATTGCTCTGGAACTCTGTCATTCTGTACATTTACAGGCAAAAGAAGCAAAATCATTAAAGAAAATTTAACCATAAGCCACTAACTGCATCAAAAGATTTAAAACACTGAAAAATCTTTCGTCATGGTAGTTCTTCAGAGTACCCATGGACCCTAAGTATCGATAACAGATGCGACGTTTTCAAGAACAGGTTTAATCCCGTGAAAATTATTAGACTCCAAACCCACAAAAACGTCATGAAAATTCTTGAAACAGTCTACCATTTCTGAGATCAAGTCAATAAAACCCAGATTGTAGCCAAAAAAAAAAAAAGAGACCAAAGGGAAAACCCCACCAAAAAAATGAACAAAAACACCAAAAAAAATTGTGCACCTGGAACACCTGAATCTCTGATATTTCCTTTGATCTGAAAGTGTAAAACCTTCTAAAGAGCAGACCTAACCTTCCAATCTATGAAGGGTTTAGAGAAGTGCCCTGTCTCTGAGAAATCCAAGAAATCAGTCGATCTTTCCGCTTTCTTTCACGTTTGAAAATAGGAAAAACCCTAATATGAGAACCCTAGCATTTAAACTAGCCGTTGCAGGTGCTTATGTATTTTAAATTTGTACAGGGTAAAACGCCACCTAACCGTTGAGAAACAGCCTCACCAATGAAACCGCTATTCTGAAACCACTTCTGGTTTCGATTTGAAAAATACTCAGTAGAGAGAGAGAGAGGGGGAATGGAAAAGGAGAGAAAAATTTTAGAGAGAGAGACGTGGAATTCGAAATTGGAAAGATATAATTTGAGTATGACCTTTTTATTTTTTTACTTTTGAGAAGTTAAGATAAGGGGGGCTTTTAAAAGGAAAGGAACAAATTTTGAGGATTTCGTTTGTTTTTGTGAGAGAGAGAGAGATAATGGGTCCGGTTTTGAATTTCGAAATTCAAACGGGATGAAGAGGTCTCAAGTTTGTGGGGTATGATTTGATTTTGCCTTTTCTTTTTCATTTTTTTTTCTGGGTATGATTTGATTTTGCCTTTTCAGCTTTCTTATTGTTTGGAACCTTCTATGTGGCCTAATCTTTAGGTTATTGCACTTTTGTTTTAACAGTCTGGAAAAAAATTGCCTTTCATGGTCATACACGGTTAGGGTTGGCAATGGGCGGGGTGGCCTACCCTGGTCTAGTGAGCCGATCCTAAAAAATTTGGGCCTGGGTCACAAAATGTGGTATGAGGGTGGGGACATGGGCTAGATCAATATGAGCTTGACCTAGTTTGGCCCAACCCAGCCTTTATTTTTTTTATATTTCTTGTATTTTTTTAAAAAAAATTACCCGACTCGATCTAGCCCTTATAGGGCTAGGAGTGGGCCTGAGCCGGCCCCCAGGAGAATAATGCCAGGGCTAGCCCAACTAGGGTCCCTCCCATTGCCAACCCTAACACGGTGAAAATTCTGATTTTAGTTGTTGTTGTTGTTTATTATTATTAAGGATGAGGTTTCTATAACATCAAGGCTTTATGACAACAAAATGAAGCCTCATCTCAAATCCTCATTCAGAAAGGACTTTTGATTATGGAAATCTCTATGATGGCTCTAAAATCAATTTTCATCTCCGACAATAAAATTTGAAACTCAAAAAATTGTTTGATCTTGTAGATCTGTGACACATGTTTTTAAGGCAAAATAGATGGTTTGCTATAATATATATTATTTTTGATAGAGCAAAAAATTACAATTCAAGC